TTTTTTTTTTTTTTAGTTAACAAAAGTAAGTTTAAAAAAAAAAAAAAAAAAAAAAGTTGTAGTTGATGGATACCGATGAAAGGAGATGGACTTTTTTGGTATTCTGAAGTTAGAGCTCCCCCTTAACATGACGTTCACATTTTGAAAGCAAAAGCCCAGTACACCTTTATATACACTGACCATTTTCCAAGGTGAGATCTTTAGCCTAAATATGCCCACTTAACGGGATTCATGGGAGTAACGGGATTTTAACCTCATGTGTGCTCAACAATAAAATGTCGAGATAAGAATGGTAAAAGTCAATGAGACGCATAAGTAAAGTACACGGCCAAGGAATCCTTATCAGAATGATCCTCTGGTACAGTGATACTCCAGTTGAGGTCAACCACACCATGATGCCCTGGTAACATGCGCTGCACCTTGAGCTTAGTTTCAAGGTAAGGCAAGGATGCCTCAATAACCTTTTCTACCACTAAAAACAGTCTTAATTATAATAGTATTATTTCATGTGGATATTCTACAACCTAATAATTCAAGGATAACACAATCTTAAAAAGCTAATTTATAAACTAAAGTCAATAGATAAATAGCATAAGGTGTTAGGTTAGGCAAATGAATATAAAAAATCTAAGATATTGGATATTATAAACTCCAAAGGCTAATACAAGATGAAAATGAGGAATTCTCTTTTCAGCTATGCCATTGAAGAGCATAGAACAAGAATCCGGGTTACCAAAGTTTAGGTAACAGAAAACATTTTCTTTTTTCATGTTGCCTCATAAGAAGCAATGTGTTGTTTCAGTAATTGCAAACAAAAACTGGTGCCAGGGTGAGAAATAGCAGCTGATCAAGTATGTCTTGAAAATTATACAACATCAAAAAACTAGTCAAAATTTAGAGTATTAGGAATTCATCAAATCTACAACCAGCAATAAGAGATTCCAAAATTCAAAAATGATTGAAAAGAAAACTAAATGACAAAGGGAATACCAAAATGAAAGTAGGACAAAAAACTGATGGAAACTAGAGGTTTACTACGCCTCAGATCCTATAGCAATGTGAAACATAAAGAAACCATTGCAAAAAGCGGCCATAATTCTCACTTGCACTCAACGCCTGCTTCAGCAGCTCGGCGGGGCTTGCTTTTCCGCCTGCTCCCGTTATGCCGGAATCCATTAGACTTTGTTGACTCATCAGTGCTCGATCTTGTTCCATTTCCGTTTTCTTCCTTAACTGAATCCGACTTCTCTTTCGCCTGCGAGTATCGCTTCCTTTTCTTTCCATTCTCTGCTGCAGAGGGACTTTTCGCCTCCTTCGTTGGAATACCAGCCTTTGCATTCTCACTGTCATCCTCCTCTATTTTCTCAACTTCTTCATCATCAATCTCATCCTTCAATGGTTTTTGTGGTCTTCCCCTTCTCTTCTGTGCAGGTATTTTTTCCTCCTCGCCGCTTCCAGGATCATCATGATTGGTTACAGTTAACCTCTTTCCTTTTCCTCTACCTCTACCCATATTCTCAAAACTCCACAAATGAATAATTCATGCAAACAATAATGCCTGCCAAATAAAGAGAAAACATCAAAAGGTGTAATTTTCTACTACAAAACTCTGGTTTAAATTGAAAAGGAAAAGAAAAAAGAAGGAAATTCACAGATACATTAAGCAATAACTAAAATATTTAACAAGTCATACACAAAACTACGCAAGCTTATGTCCATTCCAATATGTTTTGCATAAACTAACGAAACTGATACGATGCAGTATTGGAAGTACAAGTGAACAGAGGCACCAATAGTAGATCACAGATGCTCACTGTCTACAACAGAATCCTTTGTTCGAAATACATATATCCCATTAACTGATTCATATTCCTTCACATGATATTTTGCAATAACTTTTATTCACACAGATAACTTTTAGGAACTGAAAAACCATCATTAAGGCATATTCTTCTATTACATGCATCAAGTTTTAAACATCACATTTTTCTCTTATATGCATCAATTAAGGCAACGGCTTGTTTCATTCACTTCACAACTTCACTTCCACCGGATGCTTTCCAAACATCATATTTGGTTTGATTTGGTTGTCAAGTGAAAGCAAAAGAAGAACATAAAAATAATATTTTCCTTTTCTATTGTTTTGGCTTGCAAAAGATGATATTCTGCAAATTGATAACAGTCTAATTATTAGTTTACGAAGTTCTGAAATTAAGGAAATTTCCAACTTCCAAGTCTGAGTTTTTGTTTCTCTTCTTCCTTCTTGACCACTCAAAATTCATAAACAAGAGAATTTGCATCAATACAATCCATGATAATTTCTGTACTTTCAACAAATACCCCAAATTCCCAAGTATTTGTCAAACATGATTGAAAAAAAAAAAAAAATCAAAAGATGAACTAATAACAAAAATTAACCTTTTTGGTTAAAGGAACCAAATTTATCTTGGTTGACACTCAATTGTTGAAAAAAGACCAGAATACATCATAGAACGAACTGAAATTAACAAGAATCAACATCACTTCAAATATATTCTATAAAAAATAATCACTTCAAACATTGAAATGAGGGTAACAGCAGAAATGAAGATAAGGAAAAAGTAATACCCAGAAAACCAGATTATCAGAAAAACGAAACATAAATTTCTAAATGACAGATTTTCCACAAGCCTATACAAACAAGATCGATCAGAAGATAAGGGGGAAAAAAAAAGATGCAAGTAATGCATGAACTTGATAGAGCTCGGTTAACATCAAAAGTCCTTAGAATTAACTTCGAACTTCAAAAACCTACAATAAGCAAGACATGAGAGAGAAAAAAAGAGGCTTGTTTCAATCACAAAACTTAAGAGCAAGAGAGGAGAGAGAAAGAGAAATGATACTGACCTTTCTATGAAAAAAACCTTATTTGCAGTTTTACCATGAATCCCATTACTCTAAATCTGTCAAAGAACTGATAGACGAACAAGACCCATGTGGAGTTTTTCTCAGTGAAGCGGATTCGTACTGTGAAAACAGAGATGAAAGACGAAGAGCGGAAAAAAAAAAAACAAAGGTTTTAATGGCGAAATCTACGATCTAAACAGGAAATAGTGGATGCCCAGATCAAGAAAATCCAGAGATTCAGATACATTAAGGATTGGCAAAGGAAGCAGATTGAGATAAGAGTGTGGGGAGTCCAAAAACCAGGCCAAATGAAATGAAACACAGAGAGAGAGAGAGAGAGAGAGAGAGAGAGCTGTGAATGAAGGGGAGGAAAAAAGAAAGAGATATTTGTTGATTGGGCGCTGTTAAGTCTGTAGTCTACGACTCTGTAAAAAAAAAAATAATAAAAAAAATTAAAGAATTATAATTATAAATTATAATAATACAAAAAAAATTAAAAAAAAAAAAACTGCTGTGTTTATTTATAGGTAAGAAAGTCAAGAAAATAAGGTCATTTTGGTAAATAAGAAATAGGGTCGGACTTGGGATTTACTGGAAGTGAGGATGTGGTTGGTTGCTATTTTGAGTTTCTTATTACACCAAAGTTTTGTGCTTTTGCGCATCTGCTTGGCATTTATCTCCACACTTGAAACCCAAAATTCTTTGATCACAATTCTGCCCCCTAAAATAAAGATATGACTAATGAACTATAGTTGAGAAGATCATGAGATTAGTGCTGGAACTTTGGACGGGCCGCCCGCGACCGCCCGAAAAGCCCGAGGATTTGCCCGAGCCCGAACCCGACCCGCCCG